CTACTTTATACTTCTTAAACAAGATATTAATAAACCTTTCTTTTATGCTTAATATATCAACACATAGTTATAGGGCTTTACTTGGAAGAAAACAAAATTTTGTTCTAATGGTCAAGGTCAACTTCCCTAGGTTGAGATTATTTTTTTTCTTTTTTGTAATATATATACATATAACTTATTATGGTCAAGGTCAACTTCCCTAGGTTAAGATTATTTTTTTTCTTTTCTGTAATATATATACATATAACTTAAAATAAAAAACAATGCATTTGGACTTCTATAACTCGAGATAACGATGCATTTGGACTTCTATAACTCAAGATATAGGTTGAACATTGAACAGTGTTTGAGCTGTTAAACAGATTCAGACTTCTCCATTGTTGCTACATTGAGTTGTTAAACAGATTCAAACTTCTCCATTGTTGCTACAATTTGAACTTGAAAATGATATTTTTTAAATCTTGAACTCTTCATGAAAGATTTAGGCTTATGTTTTAGCTTTCTATCCATATAGAGCAGACCTAAATCCAAGTTCTACAACTCCAGTTATGATCCAATAACTGAATGGTGTTCCAATTTGGACTAAACCAACACCTCTTTTCTAATCTTAGCCCTCTCTTTGTCTTCTCAATTTTAGTAGTTAAACTCATTAATCAATCCATTGATTTATATGATACGCCTGCATTTAAGATGAACATTTACCATAAATTAAAGGTATCTTATGTTATTAGATATGTTATTATAAAACATACTCTAACTAAGGAGTTATTGATACTTTAAGTGCAATATGATGATATAAAACCTGATAAAAATGTATTTTAAGTACTAATCACTGATACAGAGTAGGTGACACTGTTAGTACTATGTTGTCAACATTTAATAAAAGAACCTTAGTTGCTCTTATCTTCCACTACTCCCCCTATTCACCAATCAAACCACCAACCATCATCATGATGATATAAAATTGTCCTTTTGATTTTTAATTTGGAGTTTAAAGAAAGTTTACAACTTAACCCAATAAAAACCTTACCTTAAAGAACTAAATTTATATGTAATTGATCATCTCACCCCCACACCTATAATGAGACATGAACAAGAAGTATAAATCATAATGAAGTTTATCAATTCTTCAAAATATATGTAAGTTCAATTAAGAACCTAGTATGTGAATCACTCAACCATACAAAGAGACATAAACATAGAATATGTGACCACTTGTAGATAAAATTCATCAACTGAATAAAAATTAATATATAAAAGTATTTACATGTAAACCCTAAAACTAACGTGTTAGACATGCTTTTAATTTAAATAAAACCCAAATTAATTAAAATAAGGTTTAAAATAATATAAATAAATGGTTTAAGATTTTTTTCTCCCTTCATAGCAAATGATAGTGAAAAACACCAAAGAGAAATAATTGTTAAAGAATTCTTGTCAAACAAAAGCCTAATGCCTTGTAAAATAAGAAATAAGTTTTGATCAATTAATTCTTCTTGTTTGATATCAAATCATTGTAAGACTAGTAAGCCAAAGACTATCATATAAGTTTCCAATAGTATTATGGACTTCTTATAGTGAATGAAATCTATAAATATTAAAGAAACAATGTCTTTTCTGTTTTTACACTTTATTCTAACTTTAAACACATTATTCACTTTCATCTAGATGAATTAGTGGGCATGAAGTATATAATTGAAAAGGTACAAATGTCTAATTCCTAACTCAATTAGAATCACATTCAAAGTCCTTCTGTAGCTCCATTTATGACCTAAAAAGTAGACAAAGATCTAGAGTGACAAATTTGAACATTTTAAACTCAAGCCTCTTAACTTAGCCCATTGAACTTCTCTAGGATCTAATTTATTTTAGGACTTAGAATAGACCTGACAAACATTCCTAATGGAACTTTTGATGTCATAGCTAGTATCATATCGTTCTCTCTCTTCTAAAAAAGATTCGACCTCAAATCATCTCCTACATCAAACAAAAAAAATTAGAAATTTTGAATATAACACTAACATTATACTCACCTTTTAGATCCACTTTGTAGGCATTAACTCCTTTAAGGATTTTGAATGAATCATCTCCTCTAAGTATCAACTTTGATTTTCTATGTCTAGGAAACCTTTTTTTTGTGCATATGAACCTAAACTCATTCTCTTAGTTCAAAGACAACCCCTTTTCATCTTCTTTTTTTCTTACAATGCTTACTTATCATTCTTTTTCTCAACATGTTATCATACCTTTCTAAACAATGCTTTCATAACATATGCTTTTTTATTAATATCAAGTCTAACCCTTTCATCAACAAGTAAAGAAATCAAATGTAGTAGAGTTAAACCATAAACTATTTTAAATGGTGAATAACTTTTCAAATTTAATAGATTAGCACATAACAATTTTTTTTATAACATATTAAAAAAAATCATAAATACTCAATATGCTTATCTAGATTCTTAGTATACATATCATCAAAGTAATCAATAATAAAGCTACCTATGAATATGCATAATATATGATTCATCAATATCATTAAATTAATTTGTATAATAGTACAACTAAACAATATGATTAACCATTTAAATAATCCATATTTAGTCTTAATGTTATTTTTTCCTTCACTCTTTTCTTTCATCTTAATTTGATAATAACTAATTTTCAAATCATTCTTACTATACATACAAGATTCATGCAACTCATTAAAAATATCATCAAGTCTAGGGATATGATGTCTATACTTTACTATATTATTGTTGATTACATCATTTATCAATGACAAACCACTATGGATCTCATCAAGAAATACATAGCAAAATCTAGACAAAAAAATCAACCTTTTTATTAAAAATCATTACGAAACTCTGATCGATCTGAAATTTTAACCTTACCTAAAAACAAATCTATCAAAATATCTGTCAAAATTTCAACTAGATCCAATATTTGAATCCCGAATTATGTTTGTTGGAGTAAAGATGCATGGTGTGACAAATTAAGCTCCAATCCAAATTTGATTATCCTATATCATCCTCAAAATCCTAGAACAAAGATACAGCAACACTAGGAATAAAAATAATCAATACTGTTAGTGTTAAAATATGTCTCTTTATACACAAGTAAAATCATAAACATGTCATAAAAATAAGCACTTTTGATCACACTCGTTTTTATATAGATGCTCAAGTATTTACTTATATTTTCTACACTCCTTTCTTTTCTGATCCTTATTTTCTTAACTCCACTCTCAACTTCATTTGATATTTTTTCTCCCTTAGCTAAATTTTTAGTCTTTTCTACCTTATTTATACTCTTTAAACTCACGATGCCATATGGTTTATTTGTATTCTCGACTTTGTTTTTTCTTTTCAGCTTTAAGTAGTATTATTTAAGCACTTGAAGCGCTTTTTTTTTTGCTAATTTTTACCTCCAATAACACAATATGAAAACAATAATTGATAATAACTTCAGGTAAGCACATCTTACTAACCATATTCGTATATATTTTTACATGGTAACCATGACCCCACATTGTTATATTATCATTCCAACTTCATTTTTTCTTTTTAATTTTATTTGATCTTTATAAACTTGTCTAGATAGCAATGATGCAAGAATGTATGTCCTTTCATCCTTCTCAAGAGAACACCTAGTTTTAAATTCATCATGTTTGGTTTTCCTATCAAATTATCAAGGTCGCCCTAACAATAAATAACTAGCATGTATAGAAACCACATCATACAAAATTACATCCCTATACTTTCCAATTGAAAAGGAAATAAAAACCTAATTAATCACCATAAATTCATCACATTCATTCAATCATCAAAGTTTATAAGGTTTATCATGTTTAATATTGTTTAGATTCAATTTCTTAACAAGTACAGTACAAGCAATATTATCACAACTTTTACAATTAATAATTATACTGCACATCTTGTTACTAATATGATATCTATGATAAAAAAAATATTTCTTTTTTTTTGCTTTATCTTTAGAATTATCTCTCGCACTCATATTTCTTTTTTTGCTTATCTTCTTTTCTTTATCTTTAGAATTATCTCTCGCACTCTTATTTATTCACTATAGCCCTAATGGAAAGCACTTCAACTTTCTTTTTCCTTACCATCAGTAACGCTTTGTCTACCAATCATTTCATTAAACTTGCTTATTAACACTTCCATCAGAGCTTCTATTTTATCCTATCTTTCCTTCACAGTTCTTTTGTTTTTTTAACACTTTTGAAAAACATTGTTTATAGCTGAAACAAAAGTTAGCAGTAAAGAAAAAAATTTCCTCACGAAAACCTCACCTCACTTATTTACTCTCATCAAAGCATGACATTGTTCTAGAATCCGTTCTTCCGTTATATTTGTAACAGATTTTTCACCTCGTAACTTTTCTTGTTCTTCATTTCCTGGTAGATATCATTTTTAATGCATTTTATTCCTATGTTTTTAATGCTGGTGAAAATTTGTGGACGAAGCTGCATTTCTGTTGAAGGGACATGGGACGAAGCTGCTGTCCAGATAGCTGAGTATGCTATGAGCAGGCAGGACTTAACGATGTTGCAAAGATTTGTTGAATATAGAGATTGAGTATCTAGCATGATTGATATAATCAATCCAACAGCTTCGTCAATTTGGAATTCCATTTTCAGTTTGAGCTTTGAAATATACAGTAAGTTAAATTTTGAAACAACCAAAAACTTCATATTTCCTATTTGCTAGCCTGGGAGATAATCAATGGTGACTGACTCGAGCTTGAGTATACAAATGACCTCCAAATTCAAGCTTACCTCAGGATTCAGGATATTATCCGATTACAATCCATAAAAAGGAATTTGGAAACTATTTTAGTTCTCCATCAAGTCATTGTTTCTCTGAAAACTTGAACCTGTACTCTTATGCTTCGGTGACTGCAAATCCCAAGATCTTAATCATTGTACTATGCATAGACCCCTTCAGGAACTAGAACGCATTGACCACAAGGAAAAGATTCTCTCTCTTATATCCCACTGAAGTGCAAGAACTCGTCTGGGCCAAACCGTTATATGTACAGTAGAATACACACAAAAAAGCAAAAAAAACGAGATCTCCAAACAACAAGAGGCAAACCTTAATGTATTCGATCCCTATTACGGGGCAAATGGAAAGGATGGTTTCTTGATGTTTGATTTCTTCTTTCTCCATAGAAACTTTTTCCACAAATTTACACCTCCCCTTTTCTTGCTAGGTACAATGGCCAAAGAATTAGTTGCAACACCATCATCCTGGTGTTTAATTCCATTCAAAACAAGTACCTTCTCAAGAGGCTCGATCACCTTATTGGAAATGACGGTGGAACTGGTATTGATATTGCTTTCTTTGCACTTGACCGATTCGGTGTCCTTCACTTTATCAGTGTCCTCTGCTAGCATCTGATCTAGCAAAGAGGACCTTTGGATCAGTACTTTGTTCTTGGGTGAAGTCCAGGCTGTGCTTGTCGAAGTGGTGACAGAGATCGTATTTGTGTCAGTGGATGTAGAGATGACCTTGTCAAACAGGGCTGCTTCGCTTGGTGAGGCCAATGCCTTTAACTGCTTCCCTAGGTTTAGAATTGTCTCTTGGCACTCAGCCAACTTTTCTGAAGCGGCCGTTATCTCCCAATCCTGCAAGATTTAGGAAGCCCTTGGTTCAACAATGAGATTCGTGTACATGTAATTTAGGGAAATTATACGTAACAAACATCAGATACACAAATAATATAAGTAGAATAGAAGATAGCACATAATTGGAATGAATAATTGTTCAGATATTCTAGCTATTCCTTCTGCCTTTTGGAAGAACGAGAATGTACTGCATATTGACAGAAAAAAAATCAGTTTCTGTTCTTTTCACTGATACTAAAAGGTCAGCTGGTTTTGGCAAAGTTCAGCAGTTTTGCATGAAGTAGAAGCTTACAGATTTCAAATAATGTAAGCCGAGACCTTTTCTGTTGCATTAGACAATGACCCTTCAATGTAAAATCCCAAAGGCTTAACATTTCATATTCTTCATGGGAACCATAACTATACGCAGAACTTCATCCAAACTCAGGAAAATGAGCTGAAGTTAATTTTCAGGTAAAGCAGAAGATCAAATGCCTCATTTTTCCAAGAGAGGGGTTAATAGGGTTCAACTGACCCCATATGCAAATTGACTTCACACGAACTTGGGGAAAATCTAGTATTTTGTTCGAGAGTTGTATGTTCTCTATGCCAACTAGCGGTACTGCCATTCTCTATGAGGTTTTATAAGTTACCAAAGAAGTTAAATATAAAGGCAATCTTTCAATCTTTATTTGTCTATATGTAAATAATAATAAAAAAAAAGCTCTGTAAAAAAAAATGCTTAAACAGCATTAGCAAATGAAAATAAGTTGTATACACAAGGTGGCACGATATGAACTTACAGTCCGGAGTTGGCTCTCATCCTGATGGAGTTCAGAGTTCGGGATTTCATTTTTCGTCATACTGAAAATAAAAAATATCAGATAAATGAGATTTCTCAATAACGCAGGTAAATTGTTTATTATTATTATTATTATTACTATTAATATTTTTTTTCAAGAATCAGCCAATTTTTTGAGGAAGAATTACAAGCAAGACAACTTTTTGGGCCATGAAGAGTATGGCATCCTAAAATGCAGGATAACTATTTAATTCTATCTAGCATGTATTATTTTAACTTCATCTAATGTTGTGGGTCTGCTTCTATCTTCAAAAGAAGGAAATCATTTAAAAATAAAATCCGATACCTTTCAAGTTGGATCTGTAGTTCAAGACATGTGGCTTCCAATTCTTCACAGCAACTCTTCCTGTTCTCAAGTTCCATTTCCAAGGTAGATAATTTTTGGTGAGCCTTATTTAATTCAACTTTGGCCTCTGTAAGCTGTGTATCAACATCTTCTTTCATCAACTTATGGTTTTCAATTTGGCTCTCAAACATTGCTTTCGAACCTCTCAAAGTTTCTAAATCTGTTTGCAAGCTCTCAATGGTTTTCTCTGATTCCTTAAGTTGATTCATCAAGGACTCACTCTTATCAGAAGCTAACTGGAGCCTCGCTTCTAAGTCTCTCTTTGCAGAGTCAATATTAGTCAACTCCTCTCTTATCTTTCTATTTTCGTCCCTGATAGTAGATTGATGACTTTCATCCTTCTTCTCAAAGTAGTTGTGATGTCCATTTGAAGCAACAACCTCTGCTTCATACTCACTCCGTGATTCATCCCAATCAAAATGCTTCTTGACTGCATCTCTCATGCTTGAAACATCTTGGATGGAAAAGCAATGGTTCATAATCCAGTCCAAAGCAGAACATATTTCTTGGGCAAACATGTTCACATCAGATTTTCCATTCAAAAGATCATAACAAGCACGGACAAATTCCTGTAATACAGCACATAGTTCAGACTTTTTCCACTGCAAAACACGGACCACGTAGCCTGGAGGAGTTTCTGTATTCTTAAATGGCAAAAAATCCCCATCCTTTCTGGTCAATGTCTCTGAGTTACCATAATCAGCATATGAGAAAGCAACCCCTTCAATAAGCTCAATAATCTTGCAGAGTGATTTGCCGAGATCTGACTGGACTTGCTGATGGCTCTTATCCATTGAAAAGGCCTCAGCTTCAGTAACTCCACCTGGTGAATCAGTCACTGAATACATAGGTTTCCATGATATGTATCCACCAACATGAGGGGAGTTTAATCCATTTGAATGTGTTGAGCTTTGCCTTGTATCAACATATTCTGCAGGGCTTGTATCATTTATATTTTCCAGAGCTATTCTAACATCCTCCAGTATTTCACAAGGTTTTCTTTGTGTGACACGATTTTGCTCCAACACGACTTTCAGAATGTCCTGTAGCCAACCAGAAGCTTTGTCTTTGGACTTGATCACCTGGTTTGATACCCCAGAGCGAGATTCTGATACTGGAATTATCTCCTGACCAATTGCATTAACATTGTCAGAAGAAACATGAGGACTTTCGAGCTGCTTATCAACTGAGACTATTGCAAGTCTTTCCATTTCAGCAAAGTCATCCATCAGGGATATATCTGAAACTCCTATGGTTCTGTTTGTTGGTGACCCTTTTTGCTTTCCCTGTTTGAAGTGCTCCATTTCTGAAATCAAAGCAGAAGCCCAAGATTCAGCAGAACTAACCTTATCATCACTGCCAATCTCAGACATTGAGGCCAGAGAGAGCTCCTGTGGCATAAGCACGCTCCTCGATCTCTCTAAGGCTATCTGTCCTTTTGGCAATTCATCAAAACGTGACTCAACCTGTGATAATTTGGAAGCTGTGCGAGCATACATGGTTCTCGAAAATTGGAGCTCATTTGTTTTTTTATCAAGGGCTTCTTTAAGAGTCTTGTTTTCTTCTTCCATGGCACATAACTGCTCAGTCAGAAAGTTGATCTTTTTGCTGGGAGATTCAGCAGAGTTTCCAACAGCTGAGTCAATCACTAAACCAATAGGACTGCAATTTGACCTTCTCCTGCTCACTTCAACTGAATCTCTTCCAAGGACTTCTATTTCACTTTTCATTTTAGCCAAGGCAGCAGGGCCAGGCAACCGCTTGCGGACTAGGAGACGCAGCCTCTGACATTCTGCTTCTAACTTTGCAATTCTTCTCACACTCTCTAAGTGTTGCTTGTGAGATGCATCAGCTGTTCTGCGGTTAAACTCTCTTTCCTCATTTCGGATCTCAAGCTCCTTATCTAGCACGCGTACTTCATATCTGAGAGAAGCACTGTCTTTTTCTGTGGACTCTAACCTACCCATCAGAGAAATAAAATCTGCCTCCACCTGAGCCTTTTGCTTACTTAAATCTTCAACCAACCTTTCTTTTTCTAAGAGAGCCTTACTTAGATTAGCCTTCTCAATACCTATTTTCGCAAGCATTTTACCAGTGTCTGCCAGCTTCTCTTCCAGAATCATCTGGGACTTTTCAAACTCATTGGATGTCTTCATCACAGCATCATGAATCCTTTGCTCCTTCTCTTCTCGAACGAAACGTAGCTGCTGCATACACTCCTTGAGGGCTGCATCCAGATGAGTCAATCTTTCTTCTCCAGCAGCTCTTTGCTGTAAGGCTTCATCTAATTCTTGCTTTAGAGACAGTGCTTTTGCTTCTGCTTTCTCTTGGACTATTAACAATCAATAATCATAGAGCATACAAGGTTAAGAAGACCTTTCACCATGTGAATTGATAAATGGGCATAAGAACCTTACGACTAAAGTACTAAGACGTAATAATATTTGGTAATTTACCTGCCATGGCTTCCATTGCCAGCTTGGCTTGTTTCTTTGCAAGATCATCTTTGGCATTACACTCAGACAGGGCAGATGAAAGCTTCTCACTCAAAATTTTCAGATCATTCTCCAATTCTGCCTTGTTATCCAAGAGTGTCTGTATCTGGAACATCCAAATTTGTTAGTAATCATCCAAAATTTAAATCACTTCCAAAAATAAATGTGATTTATTTGTAGAAATTCCAGCAATCAAGGACTTGCCAAGCTGATTTATCTCTCTTCTGTGACCAGTTTTAAAGTTTCCATGCACATTTCTACACACTAAACCTAGAGAGAACTCACTTGATTGACCTCAATAAATCACTAAACACCATTACAAAAGAGTAATTATTTCTAGTTTTACACAGAAGAGTCCCACTGGAGTAGAAAATCCCTTCCTTGACAGGCTTTATGGATTGAAGTGAATCATGGTTCACTACGCAGAATTGAGTTCAGAATTAGTAAGCAGGTGATTCTCCTCAAAGAGAGTGATCAACACTTCCCTCCATATCCCATCCCTATCAAAAAAATGAAATCGGGGAACTAATAACCATGTCGATTTGTCATTGACCATCACCTGGAATACATTTCTTCAAACATCACAGACAGCAAATATTTTGAATATTTGGTTCAGGAACATTGTTTCAACTGTTCTTTCAAGTCATTTAGTAAATCAGGATAATGCCTAGATTTTTCCAAGCTAGCACAATGAAGGATTTCAAAGTCCAGTCTCCACTAGCATACGAGGAGAATTCTTATCATCTAGGCAGGATGACATCTCCATTGTCTTAACTAGACTTTTGTACACGGCATTACTAAACCAATCTGGATTAATTGTAGACCAATCGTCGAGGCTGGTTTATTTGACGGTGAACTTCAATAGAACATAGAAACAAGTTTTAATTGTCAGAGTCACCGCAGTTATCAAATGAAATCAACCAAGAATAAACTACAGTGAACAGTGAAGGCTGACTCCTTTAAAACAGATAAGTGGCGATTTGTGTTCTTGTATATGACATGCAAAGACAATTAGACCAGCAAAATCTGATCTTTAAACAAGCAAAATAATTTGGTTATCTGATCAAAATCAGGCACAAGAAAAAAGGTGATCTTTTTAGTGTATATCTGAGGGGAAATTGATTGGGGTTTTTCAAGAATAATTGAGACTTCTTATCACAAAGAACATACATTGTGGGATCAAAGAATAAAAAATTGCATTAACTGATGATTCTAATAGATTGCATTACTATACAGAATTGAATAGGAGTCCCCGAATTTCAGTGATTTACCTCCTCTTCTTTTGAAGAAATTTCAACTCTAGGATCAGTTGCAGCAACAATCTTGTCTGTAGATTTCTTCCTCCACAGCCATGATTTATGGTCCATGACTTCACTCACTACAGCCAGCACTTCAAATCACTAGAAATCTTCATGAACTGCAGCAAATAAAAACAAGATTAAGAACCATCAAACACCCCCTTTATCTTATATAATACAGACTAGAGCATATAAAGAAAACAAGATTTTCCTACCATTAAAAACATTTAACATGAGTGGATCATTAAACCATGAAATGTCGACATCTTGATCGATGCACAGAAAACTTGATCAGATTTATGGAACTCAAAACTAGAAAGAAAAGAAGCTCTGAATAAAGAGAAGAGAATGCAAGACAGAAACACAATTGATATCACAACGTGCAATGCTTATGATCCTGCCGACAAATATAATGAACGAAGGGGAGCCCTCAAAGAAGAAGAGAGAGATAAAGAGAGAGAAATTAAGACAACACTGTCTGTCACTGTAAGTCTGTAAATTGGAAAAATAACGTCCGTACTGTAGACAGAAATAAAGACTCTGTGAACATTTGTGTACGTGTGTCTGCAAGGACACTGTACCGTGGCTTTCCCAAAGAAAAGTCAAAGTACTTATAAGTTTTATTTGTGGATTTTGTCTGGGCTATATCACTAATTATTTTTATTTTTTTAATTTTGAATTAAACTAAATTTAATCTTGAATTTCAATTTTTTAATTTTAATATTTAAAAACATTTTTTTTAAATGACACTACACCTATTATAAAAAAAATCTGATTTAAAAATAAAAAAATTGATTGATATTCGAATAAAAAATTAAAATTAAAATTATTTTAATACAAAGTTGAGAATAGATTTTGGTAATTTAATTTTTTATTTGATATCTTAACTTTTGATTAATCTATTTTATAAAATGACATTATATAAAAGAATTGTTTAATTCAATACCTTTGGGATTTTTAACAAATATGGTAAAAAATATTTCAGGGTCGTCCTCGTTCATTTCATGACATTTATATAATGTCATTTCATGTCTATGTCTAATTAATATCATTTTCAAAATTATCTTAAATTTGGAGATGATGTAAATATCTATCTTAACTATCTTCATTTAAACTTGAATCATGAGTTTGGCTTTCATCTTTTCTATTATCTGAGTATGTTTGATATTCTAATATAAAATATTTTTCAAAAGTAATTTTTATTTAAAAATTTATTAAAATATTTTTATTTTTATTTTTAAAATTAACATATCAAAACTATAAAAAAATGAAAATATATAATTTAATATTTTTTCAAGGTAAATATAATTCTTTAGATGCACTTCAATAAAGTTATAGGAGATTGAGACTTGATTTAATTTTTTATTTTAATTTTCAAATAAGGTAATGTAACATACATTCTTTTTTTCATGCAATAATGTCTTTCGTGTGGATTTGTTTTTATTATTTTGTAAACAACAACAAAAGACTAACTATATAAATATTTAGAGCTAATATAAAAACATAAAATAAGTTTATTCATTGATATTAAAAATAAGTTTTTCATGAAAAAGATAAGAAATAATATGTCAATATTATCACCATATATATTTTTTTTGTTGGGGGGGGGGGGAATGAAATCATAATTCATGACCTCCATTGTTTTACACCTATTTATGATTATATAAATAAAAGATATTACTTTATATTATTCAAATTAAAAACAATCATGAAAAAGTTAGATATTAAATAAAAAAAGTAATTAATTCTTATATTATATGTATAATAAAAAGTTAAATCTATGAAATTAGCCAAATTAAAAATGTAAGAAAATAATTTTAATATTTTATATAAATAAAAATGCTGGTGTATGCAAGGAGAATATCCATCTTTACTTCATGTAAAAAACATTGAGAAGCTTGTAAAGAGAAAATATAAAACATATAAAAAACAAATTTTTTTCAAACTTAATTGATTCCTAGCCCAGATATTCAGTAGTCATGGATTTATCATTGGTTGCGATTGAAATAATTGCACTGTGTGCCCCAATGTAAGTTGGTCCCATCCCACATTTAATGAAATGTGAGTACAACGTGCGGCTAATAAAAGTAACATGTTGTTATATATATATATATATATAACATTCTTTTATTTTTAAAATATATTTTAATTTCAGCCTATCAAAATGATATATAATTATTAAAAAAATTATTTTTAAAATAATATATTTAAAAATAAAAATAAATAGATTATTATTTGATATTATTTTTTAACATAATAACCAATTTGTTAAGTAATGGAAGTTAATACTTGATATTTTTTTCAAATTCTTAAAAAAACAAAAAAAAATTAATTATATTATGTTTGCTTCTAAGATCAAAGAGGGTGTCCTAACTATAGTTTTATAAAAAAAATTGAGTTTTTTATTTTAAATTATTTTTTTAATATATTAATATTAAATGTAAATTTTAAAAATAAAAAATATTATTTTAATATATTTTAAAATAAAATTATTTTAAAAAACAATTGGTATCACTAATCTAAACACAGTAATATATAATTGTTGAAGTGCTCCTTATCATCTTAACAGCCCCTTCAACAAAAATGAAACAAAGTGTGCTTAAAATATGTTGGGGTTTCAGTCAATTATTAGTGTTTTTTTTTTTTTTTTTTTTTTTTTGTAATTCAAAGCTTTGCGTCCATGATAACGTGAGGAATAAGCCTACAAGGATCGCTTAAGATAAACTAATATAAAGAGGAAAAGAACAAGGAGATGAAGGGATGTAGAAGCTGCTGTCTTATGTTTGCTGCTCTATGTCCGGATCTGACATTAGACAAGGTGAGTGCTCTTGATTTAAGGTATAGATTAAATTCTTGTATTTCAAAAAGATATAAGATTTATTTTTTTATTTTTTTATATTATCTTGATATAGAATAAATATTAAAAAATGAAAAAAATTATTATTTTAATAAACTGTTAAATAAAAAACATTTTAAAAAGGGATAATGAATAATGATTAGTCACTCCACTTACTCTAGGTATCTCTCAAGCCTTTCTTTTGGTTTGATTAAAATGCTGAAAGTGATGCTTATGGTTTTTGGTGGTTCTGTTGTCACTTTTGTTCTTTGGCATATTCGGTTGTTGAAGGGCACTAATTCTCTTTTCGGTTCCTGTCTTGTGCTGCACTCTTCATTCGTTTGTTCCTAGACATATCTTAGTACATTTTTTGTTAAAATCACACGTGATTAGTGTAATAATCACTATTTTTAAAGAAATAAAACTATTAATTTCTAAATTAATAATCTAAATCTCATCTAAACAAAATAAATTATAAGCTTTTTATAATATGATTTCGATTTTTCATGTTAAAATATATATTAATAATTTTTTTATATTTTAAAAATTATTTTTGACATCAACATATCAAAATAATTTAAAAATACTAAAACTATAATAATTTAAAATAAATAAAATTTTTTAATTTTTTTTAAAATATTATAAAAAAACAGCAATAAATAGGCAGTATATCATTTTCGTTGATAAAATCCGAAAGCACACTTCTGCATGCGTTAATCAAATATTTAATGTTAGTTTTTTCTCCAAAGCCATGAAAAGAAAGTGTGATTCTTAAATTTATACAGAATCATGAACAGGAGAAACACAGTGAATTAAACGTTTCAAGTGCGAGAGCAATCAGCATCGAGAGCAACTCCATAAAGCAAATATTCTCCACAGAGTCACAAGAAACATGATACGTTCTAGAGAGTAACCAAAGTACTCTGCTTTTTATAAACAAGTAGACATAATTCACAAGCAACTGCGAAAATGAGTAGAATTAATGGCTCAACTGCAAATTATCAGGAATCCCTTATCATGTTTAGCAAAAAGCTACTGCCTTTTGCGGCCGCTTTGGGGCCCTCTCAATTTGACTTTGGCAATTTGCATGCCATTGTTGATCTGTCAAGTGCCTCTATTTACCAGCAAAAAAGGGAAACAAAATCCTTTTCTTCATGGAAAAGTGATGTCAAGTCGAGAAGCTCAAGTGCTCGAGGCCCTACGAGGAAAAAGAACTGGTGAGTGGACATGTCCGTTGCCCCTTCACGTCTAGGCGCTCGGCAGCTCCTTTTCATTCTCAGTCTGTTTCCTTTGGTTTGAAGCTGAGCCGCTCGGCCATTGCCACCTCTAGCAAGGATTGATCCTGTTGTAATGGCAGGTGGGCTTCCAAGGCTCCTTCTAGGCCCTCGATTATCACGTTTGTTCAGCGATACAAGTAATCAAAATGACTTCAAAGGGTTGAATTCTGAATTGAATATGCATGTGAAAGTGAAAGGGATTTGCAACCACTGATTTTCATGCACAAATTACATCACCTAGATTAAACTCAATTACCTGCCGACGTCAAATTATCCGATGTTAGCTTAGCGGATGCTATTACTTAATTATTATACCTACTGATGAGGCCCAGTTTCCTCGGGTATTGATTTTTCTTCGATTTGATGACATGATGGGCCACTCCAAACATAACCGATAAAACCAGCCCCTCGAGCCTGGAAAGACCTTTGATGTTCAAGTTGACCTAAAAAATCCAACATGATCAAATCTTATAAAGAAGATAATTGAGTTAGCATGAGCTTTTGGGTCGATGACATATATCATCAAAAGATATATTATCAATAATTTTAGATGCTACCTTTGCTAGTGTTCACTAGTTACATCCTGTGCTATGTGGCCGATTTATTTTTTATTTTTATAAAAATTACTATAAAAATTTATAATATAAAAAATAATATTTTTTAAGCTATGTGGCCGATTTATTTTTTATTTTTATAAAAATTACTATAAAAATTTATAATATAAAAAAGAATATTTTTTAATATTAATAATAATTATTTTTCATATTTATTAATTATTTTATTAATAATATTAGTTATAATAAAAATAATAATATTTATAACACAAATAATACTATTTTTGATATAAATATTTAAAATTATAATATAAATAATCAGTTTATTTTTTTATTTCCAAATCAGGACCCAATATTAATGTGACATTCTATTACTTAGCTTTTCGAATGTCATCACCCCATCATTAATAAATTCATATAAATAAAATAAATTCGTTTTACTATTAATTTTTTATTTTCAAATTAGCAGAAAGCGATACCTAAACAGATTCTAATATACATAATGGCATCAAAGAAAGAAAGAAAACTACTATAAATTAATTAATTATTCAAGATTGAGCAAAAATAAGAAAACTTCAGCAACCAAACAGGAATTTCACCATGTGAATTCACTGAAATTGCATAGCATTGTGACATCTAATACAGTTACCAAGAAAAAGAATGAAAATGAAAATTCAAGATATAAAACCTATTATTGAAATTGAAACCCTAAACCCTAACAATTAGAAAATATAAGGTAACTACCTGTTACATGTTGAAAATTCTAACACCTCTAACGATGAGTCATGAACAAGGCAGGGGAAGGATTTTGAACAGAGCCCTAGCGGGAAACTTCAGAATCACTAAATGCATCGTT